TAAAAAGAATGGTCATATGTTTCATGACATCTCCACAATTGTAGATCACTTTACGTCTCTCTCGTTTTCTAGACATGTATGCATTTCATCTCATGTAATATGTGCTCTCTTGGTAATTAGTTTGTGCAATGTTGATGAACTACTTGTGTCATGAATAACAAAGCCAGATTCCGTTTGTTCAAATTATTATACATCGATTTAAAAGTTGTATACAAGATTTGGGATTTATGTTGTATAAAAAAGGCATTAGGGAATGTCCGCAAAGCCAAAATTGATTGGTTTTTCCATCCATGTGTTTCCTTGTAACTTTTGGGCACCGAAAAATCAAGGGATTGGAATGGCAAATGAGATGCAGGCTTGGTTGCACCATCGAGAAACGTCAACCATGACAAACATCCAAATTCATGTCAAGCACCAAATTAATGAGTATCAGTGCAAAAGGCATAAGCACTTTCAAGGCCATACAAAGGACATTCGGTAACTCTCTCTCTCAAATACACATATCAACAACTACTTCTCAGCTCATCTCTCTCTCACAAACACATCAAGAAGAAGAATGCCAAGGAAATTTTGGCACATAGAAAGCATAAAACCAAATTTCAATTGCTGATAATCATCAAGTCATGCATTATGGATTACTACAAATTAAGAAGCAAACAAAACACAAGATATCCTTAACAATTTTTTTAGATTGACATAGGACATTGTCTTGCTCAGTTTCTTCAAAAAAAGACATTGTCTTGCTAGCGATAGAATTCTGAATTCATAGTAAACCATCCTTCTTGGCCTCTACGGTAAGGCATCGTCTTTCTCAGCAATAGAATTCATGGCAACCCATCCTTCTTGGACCTCTACTGTAAGGCACTTGGAGAACCTACAAAAATTGCAAGCTACAACGGATACTTTGCCATTCAAAATCAGCTAAGCTGCAATTGATGGTGTCTCTTTTCTAATCCAAGGAACTTCTCAATTTTTTTGATAAAGAAGCTCAAAAATCCACAACATTAAAAATCCAAAAAAAGAAAAAAAGAGATCCACAACCCACTCGTTATAACCTTTTTTTTAGAATACACATCATGACTAGGTTTTATATCTTATAAAGAAAAGTAACTATTTTTTGTACCCAAAATACATGTCTTGCACATATACATTCATAGAGAGAGAAAGTACATCTCTCTCTATGCATTCATAGAGAGAAAGTACATCTCTCTCTAAAATCTGTGGCTCTACCGAAGAAGAAGGCACCTTGCTTGTTTCCCTTTCACAGATTAGTAATTCATTGAAACTAAAGAAAGAAATCATAATATTAATAGAGATATAGAGAATACATTTGCCCTGGGTTTTAGAAAGAGAGAGATTTACCTTTTTTCTTTGCCCTAGTTTGTAGAGAGGGATTTATTTTACCCTTCCCCTTGGTTTTTAGAACGACAGCTCCTATGGCCTTGCATTGGTACTGTACATCCATAGAGAGAGCTGCTCTTATAAAGAGAGAACTTCTATGCCTCATATGCCCTGATTTTTAGAGAGAGAAAAAGATGCTTTCTCTTTTACCCTAGTTTTTAGAGAGAGAACTCATCCCTGATCGCGTAGAGGGAGAAATGCTCGTGCAAGGAGAGCGGGGGAGATTTGTTTTGGTTTTTTTGCTTTGGTAGAGGCAGAACTCTAGCTCGCCATTTTTATAAGATAGAACTGCTCGTGAAGAGAGAGTGTTTGTGTGTGTTTTTCAATAGAGTGGGACAGAGTTCTTGTGGGTCACGGGTTACCGGCTTGGAAGTAGGTTAACTGGTAAAGCCCCATCTTTTTCTTGTTATTAGAATTAGGATCTGATGATGATCCTTTGGGGTCCCATGCCAATGGGTGTAGCAAGGTCCTATAGGATCATTACAATTGTTTTACAAAGTGCATTTTATATAACGTGGCAACCATATTTCCATAATAAAAATTACGATATTTCATAGTGTAGATTTAATATATCTTTTAAGACACTGTAAAAAAGTAACAAATCTCTTAAGATAATTTTAAATCTATGTTGTTTAAATAAAATAGATGCTATAGATTATTACAACCTTACATCTACAAGTAAAATTACAATTTTATATAAAATTTTATTTATTAAATTCTATTAAAACAAATAACATTAATAAAAATTACCTTGTTTTTATGCGATCACACATGGGTGTCTTTGAACATGGCACCAACCTTTAAACGGAAACTAAAAGTAAATATGCAAATGGAAGATGCAGTTCTGGTGCCAAAAACCCTCATAGTTGCCAAAAAAAATAAAAAATTACACCAACCCTAATTATAAATTTTGGGGAAAAAAAAGGTACATACGTACAAATCTATGAACACAGTAAGACCTCAAAAAGAGGAGATTATATACAATGAGACTATTTATTTCTTACAATTACAATCACTCCAACTCATTAGATGTCTAATTAGATGGTTTGAGATAGTCATGAAATCTGAAAAATTATTATTTTTTAACTTTGAATCTTTTCAATGAGACTCTTACAATTACTCAATTTAAAATTCAAGGGGCAAAAATGATTGTCACCTCTTTCTACAAAACATAAATGGTCTCTCTATATGCTTTTCTTAAAAATGGAGATACAAAAATATATTATATAACATATAATTTTTTAGGATTTAAAAATCTTTATTTTTTCATATCCAATGGACATCTCGAGGTCGGTCAGATGATACTACTCTCTCTCTCACACACATTGGTTTCCTCCTCGCACTGCTACCAAATTACTATTTTGCCACTTCTTTAAAAGGATACGTTTCAAATAAAGGATTCGTTTATTTTTTTTTTCGAGGGAAGGAGTGGCGAGGGGGCGGCGCTTGTAAACAATACCTGTGAAGGCACTGAGCGTGAACATCTCTTGGTGCAGGAAACTATTGAGGAAATGACCTGGTAGTCCCGTTAGAATTTGTGCCGTTTTAATGTTCGGAATCACCACTTCTGGTAGTCCAGGTCATTTATCAACAAACCTCTACGAGGAGGGAACCCAAGCCTTGGGCCGACCGACCCACCAGACCAGGTAAGTGTGGCGCATGGTACATGGTACATGGGGGTTTATGCCCCATGCTAAACTAGCACACAACTGGACGATGAACTGGATGTCGGGCCAGATGGTGTGCTTGAGTTGTGCAGGTGGCTACGTTTGAATTCGAATCTTGGCGGGCTCATAAGGATTCACGCAGTTGTCTGTGTCACCCATGATTGTTGAAGCACGTCGGTGCTCACCTTGGCAGTCCATGAAAGAGGCTGGCAGCCAGGTGGCACCATGTATCTGAAACTCAAACGTAAGAAACTGTGGTCTATATAAACTCTAGGCGCAAGCCCAGGCCCTTGAGGGGGCACCTGTAGCACTATACGCTTGCAATTTTGTATAGTAAGAAATAAGGCGGGGCCATGGTCCTTTAAACCCACTGTGTCCCTTGTTTGTACGGTTCTTTTGTGTGGGTGCTGGGCGTTGAATGCCTGAACTTGGGAACAAAAGTTCCAGACTTGGGTTCTAAGACCCACATGTTTAAGCTAAACAAGAAATTATCCATCAATTGTAGAAAATATTCCATCTCACACTTCGACTCTTACCATTGACACTTGTTAGCAGGATTCATCCTCCTTGTCACTCATGGAGTGCAAGAACCTAGTGCTTTAATGCTTTATTACCTATTCCAACCATAACCCCATCTTTTTAGTCCCCCACAGATTTTCTCTTGCTTAAGGAATGCTCGAGACCATCCCATCTAGTTTTCTATTTCTAACTCATGGAACTTGTTAGAATGGAGGAACATGATTCATGTAGCGGACGCCAAATAATTGGGATAAGGCTTGGATGATGATGATGAACCGATGTAACTTGTTGGAGATCTACAAATATTCTATGATGGCAGTACATAAGTAGAAGGCATGAAAAAACAGTAGTTCTCCTTAATAGAAGAGGTCGTGTACAACAACCTTAACCACACAAGCCTGGGCTGGGCCTACCGCCACCTTGGGAGGAGCCATATGAGGCAGAAGCTCCACGTACGGTTTTGAAGCCAAGTATTTCCAACAATGGGGCCTAAGGACTGATACGATGATTGGTTTAGGTAGAGCGGCCGGCCTAGTTAAAACATACATGTAGAATGACTTACGTCCATAAGAGTCACCAATGCATTGCAGACACATTACAACTCAGAACAGAGCAAATTGCAGTCCTAGTCCAGGAACACTTTTGGATTGATATTAATCCTGAACCCTGAGGGGTACATGTCCAGAAAACCAACATTGCTGATCCTTTCAATTTTTGCCTTCGAAACACTTTTGTGCACTTTTAGCTTCACCCTTCTAAAGAATCTATCCATTAGCCCTATTCATTCACTGGAAACGTCTTTCATCATCAGTTTCATCATGTTCCAGCCCAATCAATTTAAAACTCCAAGGAAGCAAGTTCAGTCAATTTGTGTCTACCATCAATTTCTGTCTGAAGCTAGTTTGGCAATTGTCTTGGAAATAATTCATTGGTAGTTCTCTTCCTAGTCCAATGACAAAAGGAAAATATGTGTCGGTCATCATCAGCTTTCCTGTATCATTTTCCACATAATATAGGAAGAGAAACCATGTTTTGTGGTACTCACCACCCTTTTTTTTTTTATCAAACACTGTTGCATTTAAATCTTGCCCCTGGCACGAGTTTGTCCTATTACCCCTCACATGACTGAATGTAATGTTCTTTCTACGTGAGAGATTGCCTGCTTAGAACTGACGATGAACAAACAATAGATGCCTGCTTAGAACTGACAATGTACAAAAAACAGATGCCTGCTTAGAACTGACGATGAACCAAAAACTGTCTTAGTGAAAACTAACCATGCCATTAATTAGTTGGCATGCAGATAATGCTTTATTTCTAAATAACATGGATTTTTGCCAATATAAGTAATATATAGTTTTTCTTTACCATTTTGCAGTACTTGGGTGAACTTGGTGCTTGTGAATACTTATGAGCTAATATTTATGATTATTTTATGCCATAAATAACCTCTTTTTTGATAGGTACTCCACAGGACGGGGTTATCATTTCAAAGTGTGCTTGAGCTAGGCCCAGAGCTTCCTCTGTTTGGGGTGTGTATGGGCCTGCAATGTATTGGAGAGGCCTATGGAGGTAACGGGTTCTATATCCTTGTCTATTTCAACTAAAAGGCAATCCTACTATTTTCTTTCATGCTATCTACTTTATTAAATGGCATCACAAAATTTTTGTGAATTCAAAAGTAATATATGTTCTTCGTTTTTTTTTTAGTCAGTCGTGTGCCTACCTTTATATCCTTTCACTATTTTTCTAAACAATATCACGACTTGCAAAGGTTTTAGGAGAACTTTCTTCTTGCCTCCTCAACAAGAAGAAAGTTCTCCAAGGACTCACTTTACCAATACTGGCATTGGTGAAAATGGACAATTTGAAAACACAATAAACAAGTACCTGATTCACTACAAGTACAAAGCTGCACATCAACCTTAACTGGTCACCGTAGTACAAAGCTGCACATCAACCTTAACTGGTCACCGTAGTGATACGCATCAAAGTGAGTTAAGATGTTTAAAAATCATTCAGAATCAAACAATGACAATGAGGTCAAACAAATAAATATGACAACAAAGGGAAAGAAGAAAGTGAAACCTTCTAATCTCTGCTACAGTGGGCTCATCATTTTGGTACGCCTCAAATGAAGCACCAAGTTCCTCCAAGTACTGCAAAATGGTAAAGAAGAAGTATGTACCTCTTAGATATCCATAAATCCATATTATTCAGAAATCAAGTGTTTTATGCATGTCGACTAATCATTGGCATAGTTATTTTTCACTAAGATTCTGAGTTTTTGTTCAGTCATGTGTGAGTGTGTGAGTGTGTGTTTTGCGTATGCTCGTGTGTGTGTTTGTGTGTGATATTCTAGAATACACCATACTACTACTGGTGAACTTAGAATTTCTAGAATACACCGTACTAAATTTTTGACAACAAAAGGTCCTTATAAATATACGAATTACATTAAGAATAGCTTGTTTAAAAATTTTGAGAAGGGCATATTTGTAATTTTGAATTGCTTTAGAGATCCATGCCTTATTCAAGAAGTCGAATGAATCTTTTTAAATTTGAAATTAAGTTTTGCAGGGATTGTAAAAAGAGAAAAATACCCTTCCTAAAATATTATAGTCAAAAGTTATTTTTGAACACATAAGAGCATGTTATGGTGAAAAGTTCACCATTGGTGTTGGCTATTCTAGAATAACCATATCTATATATATATATATATATATATATATATATATATATATATATATAGTAGTAGTACGTCTACTACTACTATAGTAGTATTATTAGTAGTTAATAGTAGTAGTAGTTAGTTAGTTAGTTACTAACTTAACGTACGTAACTAACTAACGTAAC